ATGCTGGGCCCAGTCTGTGCTGACTCAGCCACCCTCAGTGTCTGGGACCCCTGGGCAGAGGGTCACCATCTCCTGTTCTGGAAGCAGCTCCAACATCGGAAGTACTTATGCAAGCTGGTACCAGCAGTTCCCAGGAACGCCCCCCAAACTTCTCATCTATGATAATAATAAGCGACCCTCAGGGGTTTCAGACCGATTCTCTGGCTCCAAGTCAGGCAACTCAGCCTCGCTGACCATCACTGGACTCCAGGCTGCGGATGAGGCTGATTATTATTGCGAGTCATATGACATCAACCTGAATGCTCCCACAGTGCTCCAGGTCCAGGGGGAAGTGAGACAAGAACCCCCTTTCTCCTCTGCCAGGAGGGTGAGCGCTCAACAGCTGCTGCTCAGTCATAGCCTGTGTCTTCTGCTGCTGCTGCTTCCCCCAAGGTCCAGGGCATTCAGGGCCCTGCAGGGAGGAGAAGTTTCTCTTTTCTTGGGTTCTGAGAATCAGACACAGCACCTCCTTCCTAGGAACAGGGCCTCCAGGAAACAAAACATTCTGTTCCCTGTACCTTGGGACACGGTGTCTGCACTGAAGTCCCAGGATGAGGCTGCTGTTCCAGCTGTGTCACCTCAGACCCACCTCTTATGTGGAACCTGTGTCTCCATCATGCTCATCTCCTGATTTCCAGAAGTCCCCAGACTGGTGGCTTTCTCTCCCTTCTCCTCAGGGTGAATCCCTTTGCTTCTTTCCTCCCCTGCCTATTCTTTTTAAAAATTCTTTCCAAGAAGGAATAATGTACATATAACAAAACACCAATATTTACATTATATTATTACACCCATTTTCAGATCTATCTGGATCCTTGAAAACATCACCACCACCAGCTATGCAACCTGTGTCCAACCCCAGCAGCCCCTCCTCACCCTTTGCCATCTCCCTCTGTCCCCCAAAGCATCCCGGGAAGCCACAGATCTTTCTCTATCACTACTGCTTGGTTTTCATTTTGGGAAATGTTAGCGTTATCAAACATTATCTTCCCATTTGTTCAGGCTTCTTTCACTCTGCACACTTCTTATGAGATTCTCCCTGTTGTTGCTGAATTGCGTCTCATCCCATAAAGGGCTCATTAGTACCTTTGAGGGTTTCTGGGTCATTTTGCCTTTTATGGCTATTTTTACGTTTGTATAGGCACATATACATCATCTAGGATAGATTATATTCCTTTTTCTGATTTAAAAAAAATCAGTTCATTTTCTGGGGACTGTAACAGTATTGAGCCCTGCAGGCAGTTCATCATCTCTCGCCAGTGATGCGCAGCCCTGCCTGCATCTTATGCTAATATTGACTCACCTGTAACCAGTGCTGAACAATTTTGTTTTATTCTCCTGAGTTTGAATGGGTAATACACAGACAAGATGCCCCATGAGAACTATGAAAAGTGCCACCTCCTCCTACATCCTGTCTCCTGGTCTGACGGTTTCCCTCAGCAGAAGTGACCGAGGATGCTGATATTTATGTTCCCTCCCAGCCAGGGTCTGTGTGTAGAAACATGGGGGTCTGTCTGCGTCTCTTTGGCAACCACATTATGCTTCCTTTAGTACATGTACAACCTTACTATTGACAAACAACCTTTTAATTCCTGAGACTGTGACTTCATGTAATCCTGACAAAAACCCTACTATTGCTTTCAGGCAATGGGCCCAGATTGGAGAAGAAGTGTTTGAGGCCTGAAGGTAGGGTTCTAATTTATCAATATAAACATTAGAGGTCAGTGAAATGTAAATTTAGTAAAACAATGATTAAGAATCAATATGTAGGCTAGGTGTGGTGGCTCACACCTTCATCCCTGCACTTTGGGAGGCTGAGGCTGTTGCATTGCTTAAGGCCAGGAGTTTGAGACACGTCTGACCAACGTAGTGCACCTTCCCATATCCTAAAACTACAAAAATTGGCCGGGCGCGGTGGCTCAAGCCTGTAATCCCAGCACTTTGGGAGGCGGAGGCGGGTGGATCACGAGGTCAAGAGATCGAGACCATCCTGGTCAACATGGTGAAACCCCGTCTCTACTAAAACTACAAAAAATCAGCTGGGCATGGTGGCACGTGCCTGTAATCCCAGCGACTCAGGAGGCTGAGGCAGGAGAATTGCCTGAACCCGGGAGGCGGAGGTTGCGGTGAGCCGAGATCGCGCCATTGCACTCCAGCCTGGGTAACAAGAGCGAAACTCCGTCTCAAAAAAAAAAAAAAAAAAAAAAAAAAAAAACTACAAAAATTATTTGGGCCTCATGGCATATTCCTGTAATTCCAGTAACTCAAAAGATTGATGCATGATGATCACTTGTGCCCAAGAGGTGGAGGATGCAGTGAGCTGAGACTGGGCCACAGCACTCCAGATGGGGTAACAGAGTGAGACTCTGAGTCAAAGAAAGAAAAAGACAGCATCTCTATCTCCAAGACGATATTGTTTATTTAAATATAAACATAACTGGGTGCCCCTTATTTTATGTGTCACAACCTGGAAGCGGCAAAGCTGCGTCCAGCCTCCCTTACTGATGCTGGGTCTAGGGGCTTAACCACAAAGACAGAGCTTCTTTAACACAGGTACTCTCAAGTAAGCACATTAGTTTGCACTAAACGCATGTGATATAATTCCCAGGGAATGATGCCTACCCACTTCCCTATTTATTCTTTCTATTATTCTTCAATCTGCAGATTTAGGACCTCCCCAGGGGTTGCTTCAGTCTGAGCTCTGGACAAGGAATCTCATGTTCTGCCACAACCACATGCATGAGGCCCCTCAGTCCCCAAGCAGAAGAGGTTCAGACTTGAATGCATACGTAGCATGTGAGAGACAAAAGAGCTCAGCCTGGCTCTGCCTATGTCCAGTGAGACACCAGCTTCAGGTTCATTTGATGCTAGAGGGTGGTGAGCTGAGAGCAGAGGAGACAGCAAGTCTTAGTGCACACGGCTTCCAGGAGAGAAATTTGGAGCCTGGAAATGGGCCATACTCTTGAGTGGGGAAGAAACAGGCAGCTCTGGGCACAGCCCTTCATTCCTGGTGGGCTCCCCTTCATCAAGTTGGGCTCCCTGTTCTGATGTCTATCAGGGAACCCCTTCAGCAGGTTCAAGATCCCAGGACTTTACTACCAATGGCAGAGTGGAGCAGGCAGGTACGTCATGATTCAGGAGTTCTGTGCACAGCAGGAAGTACAGATGCACATTCACAAGGAAGCTCACAGCGGTCTCTTTTGGAGTGGAAGAAATACAGAAAGGCAGAGAGTAACCGAAAGACTCAGTGTGTCTGGGCCTGGGACAGCACTGGATGCTGTGGGCTTATCTCTGGGGGGTCTGCAGGTGACCATAGCTAAGAAGCCAGCCCCTGATGTGACCCTGTGTCATCAGCTCACCATTCACTGAGCTCAGCAGCTGCATTCTCACAGGAAACTGGATGCAGCTAGCCTGGCCTTCTTCACCCCACCTGCAAAATGTGCTCATGTGACCGTCAGGACTGATATCCTTTAAAGGCATGGGAGACAAGGGAAGAGGGTTGATTTGGATGAAGCAGTCATTCCACACCCTTTTCTTTAAATTAAAATTCATTAATGGAAATTCTGGGGCCATCCAAATCTAATCAACCTAAAAGAGGGGTTATCAGCTGGAGGTGGTCAGAGTGAGAGAAAAATGTGGCTTTCTTG